TTTCATTCATTTTTACTGCTCTATAATGTTTAATTATCATAATTTAGCCATCATTCTAATTTTGTAGTTCAGGCTATCCACATTTATACTCTTATAAACTGCTGCAATGAGATTCTTGTGCATGTGTTCTTGTGCAAATACATGAGGCTTTMTCTCTGGCACAACTGTTGAAGTGGAGCTGCTAGGTCAGAAGCATGTTCACTGGGTCACATCCTGAGTCATTGCTCTCGAAATGACTATAGCGGTCATGGAGAATCACCTTTGTTTCATATTCTCGGCATCATTTGCAAGTATCATACTTTTAAATTTTTGTCCATCTGGTGATTACGAATTTTATCTCAGAGGATTCATAATAGAAAATGTAATAAGAGTACATCAGATGGCCCAGCTATGAACATTATTTGATAAGATCATCATAATGTCTAATCCTGAATACCACCAAAATCAAATATTATGAGAAGACCATAGTTGGAATSTGAGGGGTAAAGAAGTGTGTGTGTCTGTGGGTGCCTTGGTGACCACCTACGGGGGACTAAGTTCTGATCTTCTATGATAAGCTGTAAAACTGATTAAAATAAATAATAATGTAATTATGTTTTAAGAAAATATATATATGGTAGTAACTACCAGAAGCAAAGGGCTCAGAGACTTGGGAATGGTTGCTTCTAGGGAGTAGGACCTGGGGGTTGGGGCACAGTGCTGGTGTTTTGGTTGCCAGCCTGGTCATTCCGTTCGACTTTGTTTCCCCTCCCTTCTGTGCACAATTAGGAGCAAGGGGGTCATCCATCAGCACAGCCTACAGCAGCCTGGGAGCCCCCAGCCCTCCTCACTGGCAGCCCACCCCCACCGGGAGAACGGGAAGCAGCAGTTCCCTCACAAGGGAGCTTGGGGTGGCTGCCATTCCTCACTTCCACCAGCACCCAAGAGCAGTGGATTCCCAGTGTCACTGCGAGCTGTGTGGTCCCTGATGAGGTACTGGCCTGGTTTCTTGGCTGTGCATGTTTTCAGTGTCCAGTATCTTATAGTGCCACCTGTGATGCTGGAAAATTAAAGGATTGAGTCAACTTTTGAGATCCCCTTCTCTCCACATTCCCTCCTTTTCCTTTCCTTTTCTCCCTTCTTCCTCCCTTCCTTCTTAGCCTATATTAGATTGGATGAGAAAGGAATAGCTAGGGGATGCCGGGTGATAACCTGTGGTCTGTGATTCCTCACCATCCTTTTTTTCTGGGGGACGAAGGTGCTCTTCCACTACCCCCTCTCTTCCCTGCTCTTTTTGTTTGCCATGAAGTTAGTGCAGTCCAAGTATGGGAGGAAGTCCAGGGGACTCTACTCCTCTAGCATTTTAGAAGATGCAGGAAAATTGAGTATGAAATGTTTATTCTTTTTCTTTCTTTTTTTGAATGTTTTAACTTAGCCATGAAAATTAGCAGTATTTTTCAGCACAGGTGTGCTCACTAAATTACATTGCTTCACAAATAGCTCAAACCATGGGCAAGTCAGAATTTAGCACACATTTGTTAAAAGATATATAGACATTTCACAGTTTGAAAGGGTTTCTTTGAGCAGTGATTAGTGAATTGCCAGTCCAAACCACAGATGGTCTGAGGCGCTAATGCAGGGGAATGAAGAGACCTTTACAGGGCGAATACAGAAGCAGAGCAGAGAAATATTTGATGGGTTAAAGTGTGGCAGTATCCTTTTTTAAATAATCCAGGGGAAAGTCCCTTGTTAGAGATCAGTTGATGATTTCTGATTGGTTAAGCTAGAGTTTCATTTTGCCATTTCCTCTAACTTGTGCTTTGGTTTTCTTATGTAAAGTCCAGAGTGCTAGAGCAGCCTCAGCTGAATGGCCTCCCAATTATTTTGACATATGGAACTTCTATTCATACTGTTAACACTTTGCTACTTTAGATTCCTATTCTTATTTTTCTGTGTGGTCCATTAAAACTTTATCCTCTCAGGGTCTTTGTTTTTAATAATTCCCATTTTTGGTGATCCCTCCAACCCCCTTCATTACTAGGGACTGAACCCAGGGCTTTACCCATGCTAGGCAAGCTCTTTACTGTATAGCTACAGCCCTAGACTGCTTTGCTATTTTTAACTTTTTAACACTCATTGCTTGAGTGTTTGCTTGCTTGCTGGATTCATTAGTGTCTACTGAGTGTCTGACATGAGTCAGGCAGGTTCTAGACACCAGAAATGTCCTAGCAAATATGGAGAACTAGCTGCTTGCTTTTGTATGGCCTTCCTTCTGGAGAGAAAGACATACAACATTCAACAATGAATTAACAAAGTGAATGCTAAGCAGAGCGTGAAGCTGGAGGTGATGAAGAATTACTGGTGGGTCTGGGGGAATTTGTTTGGCAGATCAGGGAAGGCCCCCTCAATGCTGAATGAGGTGAGGAGCCAGCCCTGCAAAGATCTGGGTAGAGAAGTTTCAGCTTGAGAATGATGAGAAAGTGRGATATTGTTGGGGGTGGGCAGGGCCCAGGAAATAAAAGGCCATATTTGTCCTAAAAGCAAGTGTGGGTTGTACTCTGGATGCATTCAGAATATGTGTTAGTTGTTAGTTGCTGTGACCAAAATACTGGACTAGAACAACTTAAAAGAGGAAAAGTTTATTCTGGTTCCTAGTTTGAAAGCCTTGGTTGGCTGATTCCATTGCCCTGTGCTTGAGGTGAGACAGAACATCWTGGCACAAGGGCATGGTGGAAGAAAGCCACTTCAGCTCATGGCAGCTAGGAAACAAACAGAGGGAGAGGAAGACAGAGGAACCAGGACAAGATATAGTCCATGCCATGCCCCCTGTGACCAACTTCCTCCATCTACCCCCACCTGCCTACAGTTACAACCTGGTACTCCATTCAGATTATTAATCCATCAAGTGAATTAACCCATTGATGAGGTTATAGCCTGTAGGATTTAACCGTGATCTAAAAGCTTAACCTCTAAATTGTGCTATAATGGGGACCATTACTTTCAAAACACGAACTTTTCCAGGGGCATTTCTAGATCCAAACCATAACAGAAAACATTGGTGGTTTTATTTTAAAAATGTGGAGAGACCTGATTACATTTCTTTTCAAAAGGTTTTCTCTAGATTCTTTGTGGTGCATGGTGTTTGGAAGGCAAGAGTAAAGAAAGGAAAAGGCTTAGGAGGCTTTATATGGCTGGGCGAGGAAAGAAAGGATCTTGACTGAAGGTGAGAGAGAATGAGATAAAAGAATGTAGTGACTTTAGGAGATATTTTGAATATGGGATGTACTGATGTTTGGGATGGCGAAGAGGGAAAGAAAGGAAACAAGGATTTTCAGGTTTCTGGCTTAAACAGTTGGGTGGATGGTGGTCTGGGTTACTGAGAAGGGAAAGCTAGGAAAGAACTGAACTGAGGTCTCTAAGAATTGGGAGTAGATAAAATTAAAGCAAGGTGCGAAAATCCTGAGGAAGAGGAAAGAAGGGTGAAGGGTCAAAATGTTGAGAAAGTCTGGACCTGTTGTGGAGAGCCATGGAGGAAAGGAATATAAAGCAAGTGGGAAAATTGCAAATTTCTTTCTTTCTTTCTTTCTTTCTTTCTTTCTTTCTTTCTTTCTTTCTTTCTTTCTTTCTTTCACAGAAGGCAAAGTAGGAGGAAAAGGGAGTTAGGAAAGGGTTGGAGATTATGAAGGTGGGACAGAAGTTAGACTGCAGTGTGACTGTGAACTTCATGAAGGTAGAATCATGTTGTGTTTGCTTACAGTGGCATCCCCAGTTTCAGATGCAGAGCCTGTCTAATAGCAGTTGCTTAGATTTTTTGAAATGAATAACTTAATGAGTGTGTTATGTTTTAGATATGAGGTATCCCCTAAAAGCTYGTGTGTAAGACAACACAAGAAGATGTAGAAGTGAAATGATTGAGTTATGAGAGCCTTAACCTAATCAGTGCACCAATCCCCTGATATGGGTTAACTGGGTAATAACTGAAGGCAGGTAGGGTGTGGTTGGAAGAAGTAGGTCATTGAGGATGTGGGTTTATATTTTGTTCCTGTTGAGCAGAGCTCTCTCTGCTCCGATTGCTACATTTTGAGCTGCTTTCCTCCTCCACACTTTCTACCATGCTGTTCTGCCTCAGCTTGGGATCCAGAGCAGTGGAGTCAGCCATCGATGGACTGATACCTCTGAAACCCTGAGTACTGAATAAATTTTTCCTCCTCTAAAATTGTTCTTTTCCTGTCTTTTGGTTATTGTGGTACAAAAGTTGACTTAAGAGTGGATCATGAGAGTGTATAGAATTCAGCAGAAATGAAACATTTTTTAATAAATTTGAAAATGAAGGAATAAGGAAAGACATGTTAACTAGAGGAATGTTTAAATTTCGTGTGTGTGTGTGTGTGTGTGTTTGTGTGTGTGTAGATAACCTGTAGAGAGGAAAGATGCAAGATGCTGGAACAGAAAGGGATACAATGACATATAAATACCAGTGGGGTGCTATTTACTGTTTAATAACTGACCTTCCAAAGGGGAATTCTAATTTATAGTGTTTGCCAATTAACATACAAATATTTCTAACATGGCTAATGTCAAGCACAAGTGTGACATCACTGATGAGATTGGGTTTGCCTGCCATTATGCAGTGTTTCTACCAGACAGATTTAATAGACATAAAGTCTCAAGAGCATAGGTAACAGTAAAGTGAAGTGACAAGCTTTGAGTCCTTAGTAACTTTGCTTGAAGGGCAATTTATTTAAGTTTATATAATTTAATTTTCAATAATGGCTGTTTTTAATAATCAGCTTATAAAATTTCTGACAGCATAACAGCTGTACCAGCACACCAATGAAGAGGGCCCTTCAGGGGGTGGGAGAAGATTTTTATCTGTTATCTATGTGTTATCCCACGCACCATCACTGTATCTGCTGAGCTGAGCGTTGATGTTGTAATTCTTACTACTGTGAGCAAACTGAGAATGTTAAAGGTTAACAAACTTTGGTCCAATTTACAAAGTTAGTATGTGGTAGAGTCGGGATTAGAACCAAGGCTCCTTGACTCCTACACCTGCACTTTGCCTCTTGCCACACTCTGAAGTTCACAGTTGAGGACTTAGCTCTGAAGTGGAAGCAGACTGTGCTATCATTTTTCCAGGTGCTGTTCCCCGTTGAACTCTCATGGGTAGAATGATTCTTGCAGTCACCCGTGTGTCCACAAATGAGACAACTTGATTTGCTTGGACATTGGTGCTGGTACCTTTGAATTGGGGAGAGTTTGGGTGCTAACACATGGAGTTCAGTGATGTGCTTTCGTTGGTTACTTTTTATTTTTTCAATTCTAAGCACCAGGCTGTTTTGAAAACAGCAGTGGAGAGCCGTAGACTGCACATTCAGAAGTAGGCCAGATTCTTACCAAGTTAATGTGTTTCTGGGCAAGGACCATTTCTCCTCCTTGAGAATAAAAGTTGTCATATATTTCCTCTTTGGGAAAGAAAAGTGCCAAATATTTAGATATAAGTGTGATTAGTATTAAACATTTTTTTGAACAGTGTGCTTATGCCTTTGTCAGAAAGTGATCAGGTCAATCAAGAAAAAATTCAAAGATGCAATCCTATTCCATCATCTCTGACTCTGTAGATAGAGCATTTAAATCATGGCTCTATCACTTGATTCTGAACCATTTATTTTACCTCTGTGAGCCTACATCTAGCACACTATTCTCAGATTGGTTGTCAGGATCAAAAGTAGTGTGTATCACAAGCATGTAAATCTGTTCCTGGTCTACCATGGCCCTCCACTGAGCAGACAACATGGTTTTATTATTAGCTTGGTATTGTGAATACTGTATTATTAYTCTCATGTGGGTTTCTGATCCCCAGGATGTATTGTGCAAGTGATGAGCCTTAAGGGAATGAGTTTGTATGGGAGTTTTGTTTTTTGGTTGAACTTCTGCAACTTTGGTTGCATGCATTGGTATGGGCTAACAAAAAATTGGGCTAACCACTATCA